GGGTGGGTGGAACCATCCAATTTGCCTTTAAACGACCAATTTACCGATTTACACCTTACACCGATTTCATTAATTCAAGCCTACCACGAACATTTATGACAATAAATAATGATCATATATGGTTCCAAACGACATTATATGATCCCTAGATTTATTCCCTAACATTTCAAAACTTTTCGAAACCGGGCCCCGATAACTCTAAAATTTCGCAAAAAACGTGGATATTAGCCTTCCATTTTGAAAATTTTTACTTTTTTTCGCCCAAAAATAAAAATTGCTTAAATGTTAATCATGGTACCTAATATCCTCCGGGAGTCCAATTGGGTGGGTGGAACCATCCAATTTGCCTTTAAACGACCAATTTACCGATTACAACTTACACCAATTTCATTAATTCAAGCCTACCTTGAACATTTATGACAACAAATAATGATCATATATGGTTCCAAACGTCATTATATGACCCCAAAATTTATTCCTTAGAATTTCAAGACTTTTCGAAACCGGGCCCCAATGATTCTAAAGTTTCTCAAAAAGCGTGGATAATAACCTTCAATTTTGGAATTTTTTTGACTTCTTTTCGTCGAAAATAAAAATTGCCGAAATGTTTACCATGGTCTCTTATACCCTCCGAGAGTCCAATTGGGTGGGTGGAACTATCCAATTTGCCTTTAAACAACCAATTTACCGATTTACAATTTGCCCCGATTTCATTAATTCAAGCCAACCACGAACATTTATGACAAAAAAAATGATCATATATGGTTAGACACGACATTATATGCCCCGAGTTGTATCTTATAGAATTTCAAGAATTTTCCACACCGTGCCCCGAAACCTCTAAAAATTTTCAAAAAGCGTGTATATTAGCCTTTAATTTTGGAATTTTTTGACTTTTTTTCACTCGTAAATAAAAATTGCTGAAATGTTTATCATGGTCCCTAATACCCTCCGAGATTCCAATTGGGTGGGTGGAACCATCCAATTTTCTTTTAAACGACCAATTCACTGGTTTACAACTTACACTGATTTCATTAATTCAAGCGTACCACGAACATTTATGACAACAATTAATGACTTGAACGTAATACCCGACCCAAATTTTACTAGACCTATTACTTACCCGACCCAAAAATTCAACCCAATCTGTTGCTAACCCGACTCGAAATTAACACGAGTACACGACTTGTTATTGACCTGACCTTAATTCATTCCAAATTATTTACGACTCGATTTCAAATCACCTTAAATGCAATTTAGACCACCTTATTATTGTTGATCAAAGCATTTGTCTAGGGAGACCAAGTCGGTCCAGCCGAGCAAAAGAAAGGAGCATCATCCTTAAATTTAAGAGTTAAATATAGTATATATTTGTTGTATGGTCAAAGGAGATTATTACTTTCCTAAATTATAGACTATAGTGTTCTAGTATATTGTCATATATATTATAGTCTAAGGAAATAATTAGCTTGATAAAATGATAATTATCTAGTTATAGTTAGTTGAACCCGAATATGAACTGACCTGATTGTAACCTGTAAATTATTGACTTGAACATAACCCGACTTGAATCCTAGAATGACCCGACTTGCAAATGACCCAACCTGATTATAACCCGCAAATTATTGACTTGAACCAAACCCGACTTGAACCCGAGAACGACCTGACTTGAAAATGACCCGACCTGATTATAATCCGCAAATTATTGACTTGAACCAAACCCGACTCAAACCCGAGAATGACCCGACCTGATTCTAACCCGCAAATTATTGATTTGAACCGAACCCGACTCAAACTTGAGAATTACCCTAACCCGTTTTAACCCGTGAAAGCCTGAACTAAACCCGACCTATTGTTCAACTGACCAGAATGTAACCTGACATGTTATTAACCCGACCTAAACCCAACCCAAACCCGATAAGAAGTATGACCTTACGTGACCTGACTTAAGCATGACCCAACCCAATTCCGACCCGCAAAGGTTATGAAATTAATCCGAATTGACCCGACCCGAGTTGACCCAACCCACTATTATCTGACCCTAACCCGACACATTTATCCGAATTGACAGCTCTACTTGTTAGACATTTAGTTCTCGTTTAGTAAAGAGATGTTTGATGAGATTTTAGCCAATATTGGTGTTGAAAAGTAAGTCGCTTTAAGAAATAGAAGTATTTAAAATTTAATAAGCAGATCTGATTTGAAAAAACCACCAGTACTCAATTTAGCATTTCGTAAATGTTGTTTGATACAATAGTTGGCCTTAAAAGTTACTCAAAGAATCTAATACAATCCATTAGTACAATCAATTAATACAATCCGTTATATATGTTACTAATTACCAAACAAGACATTACTTTGATTGCATGGTTTTAAAATCCCACCACTTCTTCCGCCTTTACCAAACTCATGGTCCCAGCCCGGTGGTTGCAAACGATGATCACACAACAAGAACAACAAAAACAGATATCATCATATCCAAACAAGAATAAATTAAAGCAAACCAAAAATCAACCACATGTCCATGACCCTACAAAACTCATCTATCAAAGGCTAGAAAAAAATCTACAACTTCATGGCTTAAACTTTGCCAAGTAATAGACTACCAAAATCTTCCCTGGCAAATAAGAACTCAGATAAAGATATCTTTTAGATAAGTAGATACCCTCATTTCTTCTATATAACCTTACTTCATCACTACAATCTCCATCAAACCCCACTCCATTATTATCACTTCTACTTCCTACTTTCACTTGTGTTTCTCCTTTTTTACAATGGCATCCTCCACAATGGCTCTATCCTCCCCTTCCCTAGCCGGAAAGGCCGTAAAGCTCGGCCCAACCGCCTCCGAAATCCTCGGAGAGGGAAGGATCACCATGAGGAAGACTGCCGGAAAGCCCAAAACTGTTTCATCAGGAAGCCCATGGTACGGCCCAGACCGTGTTAAGTACTTGGGCCCATTCTCCGGTGAGGCCCCATCATACCTCACTGGTGAATTCCCTGGAGATTATGGTTGGGACACTGCTGGGCTTTCAGCTGACCCAGAGACTTTTGCTAAGAACCGTGAGCTTGAAGTGATCCACTGTAGGTGGGCCATGTTGGGCGCATTGGGCTGCGTTTTCCCCGAGCTTTTGGCCCGTAATGGTGTTAAGTTCGGTGAGGCTGTTTGGTTCAAAGCTGGCTCACAAATATTCAGCGAAGGTGGGCTTGATTACTTGGGTAACCCAAGTTTGATCCATGCTCAAAGTATCCTAGCCATTTGGGCTTGCCAGGTTATTTTGATGGGTGCTGTTGAGGGTTACCGTGTTGCTGGTGGGCCACTTGGTGAGGTTGTTGACCCACTTTACCCCGGTGGTAGCTTTGACCCATTGGGCTTGGCTGATGACCCGGAAGCTTTCGCCGAGTTGAAGGTTAAGGAGATTAAGAATGGTAGGTTGGCTATGTTTTCTATGTTCGGATTCTTTGTTCAAGCTATTGTTACTGGAAAGGGTCCTTTGGAGAACCTTGCTGACCACCTTGCGGACCCAGTTAACAACAATGCTTGGTCCTACGCCACCAACTTTGTTCCCGGAAAGTGATGTGTTTGTTTAGGATTTTTTAGTGAGAATTTGAGGAGAAATGAATGTAAATTGTGTTTGATCTCAACTCTTTGATGAATGAATATAACCCTTAATTTTGTGTGCTAATCATTTTACATATTTTATGCACTTGTGCCTTTGATTGATTTCATTTCTATATTAGCTTCAATTTGAAGATATATGAATTAAATCAAACCGATAAAGGCTTGAAATTGTATACTACCAATCCATCTATATATTCACTAATCCATCTGTATATTCATACAAAGCCCAATTATCTACTTGTTCAATTTAATTTATTGTAAGTTGCATTGAATTTAATTTTTTAGTTCTAAGGTAAAATTTCATTTATCTAATTGAAAATACTACTCCCTTAAAGACATTTATTGTCATTATTGTTAAAGTAAATTTATAATAGATGTACATTAATACTCTTGAAAGGTGAATAAGATTTTTTAAGTGCGAAAGAACCACAAAGGTTGTTGTACATATAACAAGTGGTGGTGTAGGAACTTGAATGTGTAACATTGTACACATACTTTTAACCTTAACCACTAGATTAATATCTTATTGGTTGGAAGCTAAGTGAGGTCGCAATTTCTAGCATACTCCTGGAGTACCATGCACACGGTACTCCAGGTTTTATAAAACTCATGTTATTTTGATGTTAACTCTTTGTTACTTTAAATTCTATATGTGTTATTTTTAAATACATGTATGTTATTTTGCTATTTTTCTCATTCGTCTTCCTCCCGCACTCACTCTCTCTTCCTCTCAGTTACTCCAACTCAAAATCATACACTTTCTCTCTCCTTTCTTCTTCCAAGTTTTTGGGTTTTTTAGGAATCAATCTCACTCTCATCCTCTCACTACTCCAACTCTAAATCTAACATAATTTCTCTCTCCCCTTTTCTTCTTCTAATTTTCTGTGTTTCTTAGAAATCAATTGATTTGAAGGTAATTTAAGAGTGTAAATGTGTTTATGTCCAGAAATTTAGTATCTTCTAAAGTGTTTGATTCTCTTCAAGATGCCTTAAAACTCAACACTGCTAATGTTATTTTGATATGAATTTATTATTATTTCAATTTATATCTATGTTATTTTTAAATAAGTACATGTTATTTAATGTAAATTAAAAATAGCATGAGTTGGGGTTGAAGTAATATATAAGTAAATAACATATTGTTGTAACAAAATAACACAACATTTAAACAATATAACATAAAGTGTACGCAAAATAACTCAAATATATTGTGTAAGGAGTACCATGATCCATAGTACTCCAGGAGTATATAATACTAATTGGAGTAAGGTGACTAAGCTAATAGTCTAATAACTCTAAATTGCTTAGGAAAGATCGGCATAAATGACATTATTAAACTAAGCTAAGGTAAGGGTGTTTTGTGTCAATTAACATCAATAAGGTTCGATTTCCGGCTGGTGCAACGTTTGTAATATTTTTTTGTTAATTTCAATTTGGGTTGAATTGAAAAACGACGTCGTAACATTATTTTCAGGCTTTTATCTTTGTACGATCGTACCAATGTACCATTTCCAATTTCATCTGGAAAAAATACACCACAACAATGAATGCTGCATCCAATTCCAGAACCGATTTTATTGCAGGTAATTTCACATTCCAATTTTCTCGATTATAAATACTTTATTTATTTATTTTTCATTGACCTAACGACGTCGTTTGCAGACTACGCCGGAGACAGCGATTCCGACACAAACTCCGACGAAATCGCCGATTACTACCAACCGATCTCTTCAATTGACGGCAACGAAGACGGCAATTTGAATAATCCGAATATCAACGGATATCATGATCCGAACGACGCGGTTAATCAACACAGCAGCTTAAGCAACGGCCATGATTACTCTGCTGCCGCTGAGAATGGGGTGAGAGCGCTGAATCTGAGCGAAGATGAGGTGGAGAGAGAAAGTGAAGCTGAGGTTGAAGAAGAGGATGAGCAGAGAATGGGAGTGGACTTGGATAGTGCGATGAGGAGAGCAATTGAGGAAGATGAGAGCCGGAGAAATGCCCCGTTGTCGTCGGAGAATGCAGTGAGAGTGATGGAAGCTATGCGTGGTGTTTCCTTCCCCGGAATGCCTCCTGATTGGGTTAGTGACTTGCCGGAGGATCGATGGGTTCATCAACTCCAACGCCTCTGCCAGCCGCCTCATTCTACTGCTTGATCTGTGTGTGCATTGTGCAATGATGTTTGGAGTTTTCGGTTTGATTTGTTTTTGTAATTTGATCATCTGAATTGGAGTACATTTTATGTTTCTGATAATTATAGGCTTAGCTCAGACAATATATTATGGTTACTGAGTTTTTCATACACTAAGAATAATCGCTTATTACAAGTTCACAGCAGCTTTAAATTAAATCTGAACACGAAATCATGATTATTATTCTTGCTCAAAAAAAATTGCAATCTACTCTTACAAATGAATCTATAACTAAGAATTCGTATAAACTACGGAGTACAAAGTAATTTGTGCGATGCTTCAGTTCTTTCATGCACTGATGTTCTCAATCTCAGCTGTTTTGCTGATTCTCTTCATAATGCCTGCAATAACCTGATATACGTACAGAAGTGAAACAACAAATGAAGATAAAATGTATGTTAGTTATCAACTTATCATATTGGATAGATAAGCGAGGCTTCATTTATATGGCAATTACCAGCATAACCAAATGCATACCTTTCCGGGTCCTACTTCGTAGCTCTTGTTCAAGCCTTTGTCCAGGAGAGTTTTCAATGTTGATTCCCATTGAACAGGAGATGTAGCCTATCACACACGGGTGGTGTCAGTCTCTGGATAAGAATTTTTTTGGCAACAATTTCTGGACAAAGTACTGCACTACTGCAATATAAAAAAGTTCATCGAGAATAAATTTTTAAAATGGTTTCGACAAAGTTTACCTGTCGTGCCAGTATCTTCTTGATTGTATCCGGGTCCGCATGGGGCTTAACGTCGACATTTGATATGACAGGAATCCGTGGTGTCCTGATCTGTGTTGTGGCCAATGCAGCTTCTAATCTAGAAACTGCTGGTTCCATGAATCTGGTGTGGAAAGCACCACCGACTGCCAATCGTACCTGAATGAAGGTTGTAGATGAATATTTTCTTAAAAAAAAAAATTGTTCATACAGGATTTTGCTAGTTTTGCCACAACTGCACATTATGAGTCACAAAATAATACCGTCATCCGAGCTTTGAAGGATTTTGCCTTGGCTTCTACTGCCTCGATTCCTTTTACACCTCCAGACACTGCATAGTTTCCCTGCCCAAGTAGATTCATTTAATAACTTTGTACATTTAGGGAGATCGATTGACTTTGCATAAAACATGGGTCAGAAAGATGTTTACAGGGCAAAGAAAATTCGCAATTTCAACTCTTTCGTCTTCTGAAACTTCTTCATTTGCAGCATCACACAAAGTTTGAACCTTCTCAGCATCCAGGCCAATGACACTAACCATTGCACCTTGTGCAGCATCAGAGGCTGCCTGTAAATAGAAATATGGTAGAACCATACATCAGAGATGATTTCATCTTCAAACATACAAAGCATGTATATTAAGCTAATTCTGTATCATTTACCTGCATAGCTTCACCCCTTAGCTTAACTAGCTTCAGGCCATCCTCGAAGCTTCAGTAATTAATTAAGGCAAACACAAGTGAGTACAGAATTCTTATGGAGCAGGCATGGAAATTTTTAGTACTCACTCTACAAAACCAACTTAGTGCTCAAAAAACTGTTTTAGGTACAATGGAAATTTTTATCGCTAAAGAGTTATGCTACAGAAGATATGCAGTTAAATGTAATCGTTAAACTCATAAACTTTGAAGAATGGATCATCTTAATAAGACCTCTAAGATAACCACTCCTGATAACACTTCACCTTAAAGTCTTGTCCTCCTTGAAATTTTATCTGAAATCAGGTACCAAATTTTGGGCTTTCCAATGATATTTTTAACCATTGTACTACTTTTTGTATATCAGGAAATCACTTCTCCCTTAAAGACATTTATTGTCTCACTTAAGACAATACGACCAGAGTCCTTGCAGCTCAACTATCTGCTCTTGCATGCTATTCATTAGAACTGCAGAACTGCTATCTCTAAACAACATCCCAAAGGTTAGCAACTTCAACCTCAACTATAAGCATTCTGTGGCTGCTAAAAGGACGGATCCACAAGGATATGTGATTTGCGTTAACAACTGTTTGAGAATGACATCATCATCTATTTACAAAGTTCACATTATTCAAGAATTGTGCACATAGAATAACTAATACATAAATGTTGTCGATTATTTTTAGGTGGGAGCCAGACCAGAATACTAGCTAGGGATAATAGCTATGGAGAGAAAGCAAGTTCTAATTGTCTTTAAAAAAGGCCCAAATGACTATAAGATTAACAACCCAAATGAAACACAGTTATATACTAGTTAGCAGAACCTTAATATATTGGATTTGATCTAATCTCAGTCAGTAACTTAAAATTATTTTAAAGTCCAGGAATCTTGGCAGGCTGATGCAAGTCTTCCCACGGAGCTAATTTCAACTGATCTAGGGGAGTAACATTTGGAAGATAAGACCCGTCATTAATTTCATTCTTGCAATTCTCTATCTCTTGAAAGGGCAAAAGCAATGTTTAAGTTATCTAAACTCCAAAAGCCTATGGCCTTGCATGAACACATAGGGAGAATAAAGTTGATGTAACAAGATCCAAAATCCCGTGACTATGACTAACATTTTCTATCAAATAACATGGATATTCCGTGGCTTTAACTCTAGATTAAGGGGCAAGTTTTATAAGGAGTATTAGAAGATCAATTCCTAATAAGTATCAAGCAACAGACAATAGAAAGAGAAATACATAGTGTAACTTGACACACCTGAAAGCTCCTGCAAATGCAAGAGCTGTGTATTCTCCCAAACTTAAACCACATGTCACATCCACAGAATCAATTATTTGTTGGCCTCCCTCTCGAGCACGCAATATCTCAACAGCAGCTAAACTTGTAACATAAAGAGCTGGCTGTACACATAAAACATAGGATTGAATAATGTCCCCTTTTTGGAGTGGACAATCGTAACATAATTTTTATATAAAATATAAAAATAACACCTCTAGATGGTCAGAAACTTAAATTGACATCAGATACATAAATTCGGTTTTCTGGACATAAGAATGATCAAGAGGAGAAAATTATAGTTGTACTTCGTAGTTAATATCACACAAAGATCTAATACAGTTTGCCATTGAACATTTAGCATTTTCTTGAGGCCAATGGAAGTTATAGAACAGATGTTTTTGATAGGATGTATATATTATGGATACAGAATACTTGACAGTATATACAATAAAATCCATGGAAGAACTATATACCACTAGAGTTGTCAATTCGGGTAAACGGGTCGGGTTTAGGTCGGGTAAGAGTGGGTCAGGTCAACTCGGGTCGGGTCGGGTCAATTCGGATTAATTCCATAACCTATACAGGTTGGGTTTGGATTGGGTCATGCTTGAGTCGGGTCACGTCATGTCATACTTCTTATCGGGTTTGGGTCGGGTTTAGGTTGTATTAAAAACAGTCGGGTTACATTCGAGTTGGATGAATAATAGGTTGCGTTTAATTCGGGTTTTCACGGGTTAAAACAGGTTAGGGTAATTCTCGGGTTCGAGTCGGGTTCGATTCAAGTAAATAATTTGCGGGTTAGAATTAGGTCGGGTCATTCTCGGGTTTGAGTCGGGTTCGGTTCAAGTCAATAATTTGCGGGTTATAATCAGGTTGGGTCATTTCCAAGTCGGGTCATTCTCGGATTCAAGTCGGGTTATGTTCAAGTCAATAATTTGGAGGTTACAATCATGTCAGGTCATTTCCAAGTCATGTCATATTCGGGTTCAACTAACTATAAATAGATAATTATCATTTTTATCAAGCTAATTATTTCCTTTGACTATAATATATATGACAATATACTAGGAGACTATAGTCTATAAATTGGGAAGATAATTATCTCCTTTGACCATACAACAAATATATACTATATTTAACTCTTAAATTTGAGGATGATGATCCTTTCTTTTGCTGGCCTGGACCGACTTGGTCTCCTTGGACAAAATGCTTTAATCAACAACAATAAGGTGGTCTAAATTGCATTTAAGGTGATTTGAAATCACGTCAGGAACAATTTGGGTTGAATTTAGGTCGGGTCAATAACAAGTCGTGTTAATTTCGAGTCGGGTAAGTAACAGATCGATTTGAATTTTTGGGTCGGGTAAGTAATAGGTCCGGTAAAATTCAGGTCGGGACAATAACAAGTCGGGTTGAATCAGGCCAGGTCAATAATCAGTCGGGTTTGTAACATGTTGGGTTAAATTCGGGTCGGGTTGGAAATGGGTTGGGCTTAATTCACGTCAGGTTAGTAACAAGTCGGGTTAAATTCGGGTTTTAAACATGTTAAGGTTAGGGTCAATTTCGGTTCAAGTTGGGTTCAATGCAAGTTAATTAAATTGGCCGTTGAAAACTAGTAAATCGATGCAAGTTGTAAACCGGTAAATTAGCCGTTAGCCGTTTAACAGCAAATTGGATGGTACCACACACCCAATTGGACTCCCGAAGGATATTAAGGATCATGGTAAACATTTTGGCAATTTTTATTTCTTGTAAAATTAAAGTCAAAAAATTCCAAAATTGAAGGCTAATGTCCACGCATTTTAAGAAATTTTGGAGATTTCGGGGCCCGATGTCGAAAAGTCTTGAAAATTTATAGGATACATATCGGGGTCATATAATGTCGTGTGGACCATATATGATCATTAGTTGTTGTCATAAATGTTCGTGGTAGGCTTGAATTAACGAAAACAGTGCAAGTTGTAAACCGGTAAATTGGTCGTTTAACGACAAATTGGATGGTTCCACACACCCAATTGGACTCCCGGAATGTATTAGGGACCATGGTAAACATTTCGGCAATTTTTATTTCTAGGTGAAAAAAAAGTAAAAAAAATCCAAAATTGAAGGCAAATATTCACGTTTTTTGAAAAATTTAGAGGTTTCGGGGCCCAATGTAGAAAAGTCTTGATATTTTAGGGGATACATCCCGGGGTAATATGATGCTGTATGGAACCATATATGATCATTATATGATGTCAAAAATGTTCGTAGTATGCTTGAGTCAATGAAATCTGTGCAAGTTGTAAACCGGTAAATTAGCCGCTATGTTACATTGACACGGGTACGGGTATCCAATATTGGTATGGATCCAAGTGTCCGATTCGCCATTTTCAAAATTTTAGGACACTGGGACTCCGTCTTAACTTTGGACTCGGGTACGGATACGGCAATAAAAAAAT